AAAAAAAAAAAAAAAAAAAAAAAAAAAAAAAAAAAAGTGCAGGGATGGTTAATATCAATCCTTCAAAAAGAATGCAAACAAGATAACCGGGATGACATTTGTATCATCCCTACATAACAATACAGGTAACAATTAGCATGTAACAATTCGTTTAACTACTTAATCCCAATTATGTTTAATTGACACCATTTTTGTCTGTTAACATTTTCTTATTATTTAGTGATGATGCAGATGCCATCCTTACTATCTTGTGCCCCTTGTTCTTGTGGCATGACATTAAGCTACATAGATTGATCGTTTAACGCATTCGTTGTTTTTTTTTTCTTCTTCTTTCAGAGTCGGTTTGAGGAGAATGAAAGAAACTTGCAGCATTTATTACATATCTTCGAGCATGCTGTAGTGGACTCTGAAAATGTATTCATATTTGAATACCAAGTCTTTATTAAAATGAACATATTGCATAGAAGCGTTGGTGTTCTTGAGTTACTTGAAAACTTGGGTTTGGAAGGATCACAACAGACTGTGGACGATTTCAAGTGGACGGTTGATTCCCTAGCTCGAAACTTGAGGGATATTGAGCAAAATATGGAAGTTATCCTTTCGACTGTAAAAGGTAACGTTTATAATATAACCTGAATCTTCTAAGAATTTTATTTAAACCAACCTCTCGTTTCAGAATTAAACTACCAATATGCTAAAACTAGAAATATAACATCTGAGCGGAAAATTGGAAGTCTTAATTATATATGAGAGCATTATAAAGTGTTATCTTAATTCCCTCTAACATATATAAATGTTTATCTTTTTACAGATGTTGCCCTCTCGGATGAGACTGTTCTAATGACCGGAACAAATAAAATACGTGCTGTACAGGCTACATCGTTAGGATCGTTATTTGTAGATGTAGGGAACATAGCTGCAACTAACATGAATATTCTACAAAAATCCATCTATCGGTTCGTATATTATGACTTCATTAAATCTACTTGAAATCTAATTGGGGTAGTAAATATATATATATAATCGAAAGAAAGATCCAACGTATTCAAATGTAATAAAATGTGTATATTAACAGCGTAATTCAAATTTCTTCCAGATCTGACAACCCCGAAATCGTAAAGGGTGAGAAAACATTTGTAAGCCCTATAGCAGTACGACGGTCAGTTGAAGTGGGATGCTGTGTGAATAATTTCGACGTGGCTCGAGATATACTGACAACAGATAAAGCTCAAGCCTCGACAGGTACGCCACTTCTCGTGATTAGGAACAAATTCATCCCCCCTTACCCGAACAATTATTATTTTTTCTTGACTTTTTGCTTCGCATATTAAACATATTTACATAACAGTTGGAACATACTTTTTCATAATTTTAACTTCTGCTTGGTCACTGGTTAAAACTGCGTTACTGACAACGAACTGATTTACTGATTTAATAATGTTTAGTGTTTTTTGTATAAACAAAAAAAAAAAACCAACAAAGTAAAACTGGTAGGTTATTATAACTTTTATTTTTTCTTGTAGCATACTACTATATGATGATGCCTATGATTATACAAAAACACCTAGATATTTCTGGAAGGGTAAACAATGTGGATCTATTGAAAGACTTGGTAACGCTGTACAAAAAGCATCAAATAAGGGCACATGTAACTATGAAAGATGATATTTACATCTACGGAGATCTAACTGTAAAAATAATAGATGGAACGGATGTTAAAGAGATGAAACGCTTTTCCCTTACAGGAAATAGAACTCAGACAATGTCCAGCAAAGAATTCGTTCATGACGTAAGAGTGCAAGATGTTACAATAACTGGCGTACTTAATGATGTTGAATTAAATATGTTGGCAACCAACATTGTAAGAATAAACATCCCAACTATAATTTCTGGAAAGAAGGCATTCAAGGAAAGTTTCTCGGTTGTCGACAAACTTTCTGTTGTAGAAAGAGTGGACACATTAAAGCTACCGAGCGATTTGTTTACCTCAAATTGCTCTCAAAATATAATGGTCCCCAAAACTTTTCAGGGTCCCCTGTTGGTTATGAACATTTACGTTAATGGTTTAGTGGACCATCTAAATACTTCAGATGCGGTGACTCTAACTGTGGAAGACTCTTTGTATGATAAGATGTTTGCCAGGGGAATTGGAGTAGAGAAAGACGTAATCGTTGGAAGACTCGTTGACACTGTGGACGTTTCTACCCTGACTCGTATAATTAAAAAGGACTTTCATTTACCCGGGAACACTATGTTCCTAGCTAATGCCATTGTGGAGAAGAACCTGGATGTTCAAAAGAAAATCAACGATTTGGACGTGGGAAGAACGTATCGTGATGCCATATTCAAAACCGAGATAGTCGAGATTTACTCGCTTAAAGCATTCGATGCTTTGACGGTTCAGTCTGCTACAGTTAACACAATTTGTGGCTTTAATATAAAAGATTTCATGCTTACCAGTGGGAATCGGAAGATAAGAGGTGAGCAGTAAATTTCGAACCAAACTTAAGTGCTCTATCTCGGACTAAACTAGTATTGTCTAACTAGGTTTACATTAGGTTAAATAACAATTCTTAGCTCTTAAATACTCTTTAGATTGTGTGGCGAATCTTGTGTATGTGACTTGTTAGTGATTTTGGTTAAATCTTTTGGTATGTGTATATAAGCTTATCTTTTTTTCTGCAGGCACAAAATTTCTTGACGAAACAAAATTCTCGGACCTTAGAAGTGGTAAGTTCGTATGGATTTAATTTGTCACTTTACGTTAATAAACTGCTTATTATATAATCCTATCTTTTGTTAGCAAAAAAAAAAAAAAAAAAGAAATCTAATCTGCTTTTGTCTTGCCAATTATTCTCTCTAAATATCTTTAATTTCTCTTTACGCAACCCAAGATTATTCACTTTTTATAAATGAAGAATTGCACTATTAAAATTTGAATATTAATTGTTAATTTTCAGAAGCAAATATCGCAGACGAAGTTGATTTAAAGCTCCTCGAGGCAGAACGTGTTTCCCTGAGTTCTCATAGTACTATACAAGGTCATTTGGACTTCTTTAAAGTTCTTTTAGTCGAAAATGCTGTAACGGAAACTGTAGATGGCGTTAGTATACACAATGCTGTCCTAGTTTCTCTTCCCCAAGAAATTGCGAAGAAGACTTTCAAACCTACTTTAGCACTTAATCGGAGGAATGGGCCCCATCTCTCGGCTCGACACATGAGAGTGATTGGTGATGTTTATGTAGAAACAACAATTGATGCATATGACTTAACGGAGCTTGCACGAAAAAGGATAACTACTTCTTCCAATCAGGATATCTTGGTCGAAGCTATACTTGGTGATAACAATGCTGTTTTAATAGAAGCGGAGAGAGTAAATAACTATGATCTTGTTAAACTTTCAAAAAACGTTATGTCTCTCAGTAAAACTCAAATCGTATCTGAAAAGAACTTTGAAGGTAAGTTCCTTTTCAATCAAAGTGTTTTGTTCAATTAAAGGAGGTAAAAGTCAAGGGTGAAAATATTCTGTAGTACGCATGTCATAATGACTTGTGGCGTTCTATTCCCAATCTGCAAATCATCGGTTCGACTTCCAATACTGGATGTGCTCCCTCTTTTAACCATAATACGAGGTCAATCTCGATTACAACAGCCTAAGTAGTTTTCAGTAGCTGCTTTCCCTTTAGCCAATTACTTCATAACTGAGGATACCTAACGCGGATATTTGTTTATCAAATTCAATAAATAAATTCCACGATAACGTAGCACATAAGCTACAGCAATAATCTAAGTTAGTTCTTATTCTTAACAGCCATAGACGGACTATTTATCATAAGCTTCCGTAAGAATCTACTTGTAGACGTACTGGACTATAAATGAGTGACATTAAATGTTCATTATGGTCGTTTAGTCTTTAGGGACGTCAATTGCCTAGTACATAATTGGTTTCTTTAGGTTATGTTTGTGTAATACTAGACGCTGGTATGGATGAATTGTGAGGAAACAATCTTTCTATCTCTTATTGTAAACAAAATATTTAAATGTTTTTTTACAGGTGACATTTCGGTTTTTGGAGGTATTGGAACGAGTGGAGGAATATCTAACATTAGACTGGATTTGGTTAATTTCAACGCTATCCAGTTGAATGGAGATCAAACTTTATCTGGTCACTATACTTTTCTAGACGTCTTGCCAGTGGTCGAACATTTGAATGTTAGAAAACTTGTAAATAATGTAGACCTTACCGACCTGGTGCAAGACTCTGTCATGATGGAAGGTAACCACGTACTAACAAAACCTATACGTTTCCAAAGTGTACTCCATATAGACGGAGATATTAACGCTATACTTGTGAACGGTATTCACCTTCCTCACAAACTATTTACTCAAACTTCCCTTCAAGTAATTACAGGTAAGCTAAATTTTTAATGATCTATATTTTAAAGGCTACCTTCTTTTCGGTAAAGAATAGGACTTAATGTGCTTGTGCCTTTAAGTTTGATAGGTTTCAATGAAATAATATCCGTGCAACCTTTTCTTCTCTATACTCGTCACGAATGATAATCTGAAACTCGTTTTAAAGCACATTTATTTCTCTAAAGTAACATCGTACCTTACTTGGTAAATGTCCTCATTATTTGATACCTTTTCCTTTGATTAACACCATCGTTACTTTCCCTATTCTAAAAAAAGGAATAGAAATTAATGGACTTAAAGAAAATAACTTTAACGAGAGCTCTACGAGAAAATGTATTTTCCTCATCCCCCTAAAAAAAAACACTGTCGTCTCTATTTTATCCATCTTAACTAAGCTTGAATGATATCATTCCAGGTGTTTTCGTGTTTGAACGTGGACTGGGCTTATCCTCAAACCTCCTGATAACGGGACTAATCAATGGAATAGATGTTTCTTGCTTGAGTGCTATGACAATGAAATTAGACCAAAAGAACAAAATTGTTGGGAGTTTAAAATTTCAAAATGAAATTGAAATGAAGAACAACCTAACCATTTCAGAGCTAGTAAACGGGATAAAGTTGTCTTTACTCCAAACTGAAGCGGTTTTAGTTAATGAAAAGGAACAAATAATTTCAAAATCTATTGCCAACGAGGTTTTTGTGAAAGCTAACTTGATGACGAATGTAGTGAACAACTTGGATCTAGAACAGTTTGTAGCAGATGCGATCTGGGTAATTGGAGAACAGGTTAGTTGTCAACAAGTCTTCACTTGTGATTTTTTTTTTGAACTTCAACTAATTCCATACAAGTCACTTACTCTTCTTTTGCTCTTAGGATATTCCAACTTCAAAAACCTTCACGGAAGAAGTGGTGGTTCTCCATAACTTGCAGGTACTAGGTCCTTCTAGTGTTCATGTTGTAGATGGGATTGATCTTGTCCGACTTGCCAGAGATGCTGTTTACACTGACAAGGCTCGGAAGATCGAAGGTAACTTCTGAGTGGCTTAGGCTAACGATTCCAGACTAAATGTTTGTTGTGTGTGTGTGTGTGTGTGTGTGTGTGTAATGAAACCTAAAATATGTTAGCATTAAGTAGAATGGGAGAATTCGCCAGAAATGGTACTGAACCTAGTTTTTTAATAGTTAGTTACTTCAGTGCTGTATGCCTAGTTTAAGTAGTTCTACTTTACTTCTAATCCAACTTCACGGCTTGGGCTTTATTTCTAGATGTGAAGGTTTTCAGTAACGTTGTGGAAGTTGACGGCAGTATCCTTATCCACGGACGTATAAACAATATAGATTTATCTGTAGGAGCTATTACCGTGACCAAAACAGGTCAGTTTATAAAATCTTGGTGAAATTTTACAGACGTAACTAAATGCTAGTTATCTAAATGTAATGGATGTAACTTTCATCTATACCAATCGTCACACCTTAAATTGGGGAAAATGGTACTGATGTGTACCCGTTTTATGTTTGTTAATATCGAAGTTTTTAAGATGACTAATCAAATTAATCTTGTTTACTTTGTTTTACATATCCAGTTTATCTGAAACAGTTTTTGTAAAACAACAACAAACAAACCACATTCTACTTAGGTGATGATATCCAGCGTATCTACGGTGAAAAACTTTTTACCAACGTGTTCTTCAAAGACCTCGTAACTGTTGTCGAAACGGTAAACAACCACGTTCTGGAAGAACAAGTGAATGATACTCTTCTGAAAACTGGAAACCAAATTGTGAGTGGTCGTAAAATGATAAAGGTAAGCCTTGGGAAAGTTGCTCATAGTTGGTAGGAAATAAATAAATTCTTCAAAATCGGTAAGGTTAAGTATGTGTATGTTTTTAATTTACTGCTGCCTTGATTTGCTTAAGATCTTTTTGTAAACGGAGCTACTTCTATTCTGTATATTGCAGGGCAACATTCTATGCGAGAAAGACTTACACTTAATGAAGGTGAACAACATCAATTTAAAAGAAGCAGTGAATCTGCACACTAAACAGGTCATATTTGGACAGCTGATGTTTTCCGGTGGTGTTAAATCTCGGAATCTTTACGTTCAGGGTAGGTTTAAAAACAAACTATTTCAGATATAGGAACTTAATTTTTTACTCTTGTTGTTTATAAATTGAATCTTTAAATGTGATCATTCGTGCCAACAGAGCTTTATCTTAAAAGCATTTACATAAGGAATTTCACTACTCGCTTACTGAATACCTTTATGTAAACATTTCAATTTACCATTCCCCAGAGCAGGGTTCTTTCGTTTCACATGCTGTAATGTTACCAAATCAAACTTCCAGTTGCACCTTGTATTCCAACCAGTATTAGAACCGTATTTTCTTGTAAACTTGGGACAGGAAGGATGAACGTTCACTGTACTTTTGCTCTACTTTAAGGTCTAATGAACGAAGTCAACGTCTGGTTAATGGTGGAAGAAGCTATCTACCTGGACACCAACCAAGACATTTTCCCGGAATTCTTTTTTGCTGACTTGTTAGTTAGAGAGGACGCAATTATTGGAAAGAAAATTGATCACATTGATCTCGAAAAGTTGGATAAAGCAGTGGTTAACTTTGACATCCACTTTAAAGCAAAAACTCAAGATATCTTGGATGAGACTCGTCGACAGCAGCTTATTGGAGACTACTTATGGGATGTACTAGAAGGTATCTCCTAATTTAGTGTTAAAAACGTGACGATTAGTTTGCTATCTCCTAAGTTAATTAGGGAAAGTAAATAGTTTGGATTGTTTTTAATGTGAAGGTTTTGTGACTTAATGTTTAAAAAAAATTCTACTTTAATATATAGAAACTGAAATACTAGTTAAACAGAACACCACTTTGAGACTAATAATGCTCGAAGACTGCTTGAATGGGTAATGAATAAAAACTGTATTGCAAGTTTAATAACAAATGTACAACATTTCGACAAGGTTTTGTTATCATCACGTAATAAAGTTTTTCTTCATTACCCATTCAAGCCGTCTCTGAGCGTTATTAGTCTCAAAGTGGGTTCCTCGTCATCTAACACTTGGTATTATCTCATCTAGAGTCGCTGTACCACCTGGATAAGTTCGTGTTCTATACTTCACTCAACATCACGGGAGATTTTGTGGATGTTCTTCCGCAGACAACTGACTTCAATATTGTTAAGATACCACGTAATAGCTATTACGGAAGGGCTTACAACTTTGTAATCGAACATCCCAAGTTGCTATTCCTTGACTCGATATTCACATCCACTACTGTACGTAGAGTTCCTTTTCAAATTCTTCAGCGTGTCTTCGTTATCAACGTGGCTGCTCCCCATTCAGCAGTTGGTATGTATGTTTACTTGTTTAAGGCTTGCTTCACTATTTGAATGAAATCTAGGTTTACTAAAGTTGAATACAAAGCTATTTTTATAAGGTCAATTCTTCATCTCTAGTTCTGTTTCAAATTTATTTCAGACACTGTAATTAGAGAGAGAGAACAGCCAGTGGCTTCACTGGGGCAAGGTATATTGGACATCTCTGTCATAAATTTGGACGAATCTTATTGCAACATCATCGTCCTAGATGTCGAAGGCACCTGTAAGATTTACGTGTTCAAAATGGGTCATGGTTACAATGCATTACTAACACAAGTGGCTTTTGTACATGCTGGAAAAGGTAACTTTTATGATATCAATCTTAACGTAAACTGAGTAAACTTTGTTTATTAAGGCGAAATAACCTCTAACCGAATCTAGTCGCTACAAATCCAATAGCAGCTTGGAACTAGGTGATTTCGACTTTTCCGGATTTTGTTAAATGGTAATAATTCCTTTTACATAATTCTTAAATTGGACAATTTTCTAAATATAACATCTCTCTCCCAACTCTAGAAGCGATAGGGATGACTGCGTTCACTTTTAAGCAAGAAGAGGTTCTCATAGCAGTTGCGAGGAAGTTTCCTTTACCATATACCCAAGGATCTTCTCTCTTGTTCAAGTTCAGCAAACGAAATATTGAACTGGTGCAAGAGATAGCAGCGCCAGCTAGTGACGATGTGCTATATTTCCAACACTGTGGGAAGCACTATCTGGCTTTTACCAATGATGTTCCTGTTCATGAAGCACTGGAACCAAATTCTGTTAAAGTGAGTGTTCCGTTCTCCATTTCTACTTGGACCAATTTCATTTTTGGAGTGGCTTACAAATAAGTTTATGTTGAGTGTAGTTCAAAAAGCAAGACTGATTGCCTACGATCTATTGGAGGATGCAAATGTTACTGTAACCACTTTTTAAAAACTACCTTTAATTCTCTCTCTACAGGTATATCGCAGCTGCGATTGTCTTGAAACCCCATTCCGGCTCCATCAGAAGATCTACTTTGACAATCCCAAATCTCTGGAAGTTTTCAAGCTGGGTAGGCTGCACGAGCTTTACATGATCATTTCAAATTCGACTGTGATTAAATTCTATCACCTTCAAGGTAAAGTGTCACTAACTGAAGCATAAAGTAGTTTACCTCTATATAAAACGGGAGGTTCTCTTGGTTTTCAAGTATTTGTATTTTATTAATCTATTCTAGTTATAGCTGCACTGTCTTGAGTAAAAGTTTTGGTACTTGTGCAATTGTAGGTTTACTGTAACCCCTTAAATTCTAATTGTTGTGTGAGGGCTTGACCCGGTCTGGAACAAACGGGGCCAGTTTGATGGTTCGCCACATTTTCTGAATGATGAAGTTTTGATTAGGATAAAAATAGTTGTTAAACACTTACGTAGTGTTTATTGCATTTATGGTACTTTAAATTAGAAACTTTCACATCACAAATTTAGTTTTATACTGTAATTATCCAGGTTGACGCTATTTGATAACAAATAACGTCTCTATCAACATTGTTTATCATGTCTCGGTCTGATAAGACGTGATATTGGAGTGTAGGCTTCGTCGGTAATGTGTAAATGAGAAAAAAAAATAGTGTGAAATAGTTATACATTGCTTACTCGTAAGTTCTTAATCGGTTTTTAGTAACGATGCCTTCTTTTTCAGGGGAAGGGGGTTTTGTGAGTAATACTACTTTCGTAAGTGACGATATAAGGGATGTGAAGCCCTTTGTTGCCCATGGTGAGCTGTATGTGGTAGTAGTTCAAGGAGAGAATTCCAAAAGTTCAATGGTTCTTAAGGCTGAGATGAAGGGTATGTTTCTCCTAGTTGTATAGTAAGCTAATGAAGTCACTTAAATATTTCGTATGCTTTTCTTGATAGGGAACTACACGTTGGTTATCACTTTCTCTTTCTCTCCCTTAATTTATTCTATGTGGTGTCATGTTTTCTGACCTTTGTTTAAAGCAGAGGAGAATCATTGGACGTGGTGCAATTGTTTTTAATGGCTTAAGATGACTATTCTTATAATTAATTTGTTTTATATGGTAACCTAAGTAAAGCTTAAGATAGCCTTCTTAAATCATCAGCTTGAAACCCTCACTCTTTGGGAGAATTCCAACTGTAATATTGGTTGAATGTTCGAATTCTTAACTAACCTAAATCCACTAACTACTTATACTTTGGGTATTTTACAGGTTCCACAGTACCACCACGCCTCGTGACACACTGGCCGTAGGGACTGAAATTCTAAGATTTTTAGTTTGAGTTTTCATTATTATAAACTTTTTGGGGTTAATCTTGTTTGACGAGTTTGTTTTTTTTTCTAATTACATTTTTGTTATTTATCTTTTTACAAGTTAGATATTTAAAGTTCTTAGTTTAGAGTTTGTATACAGTTGTTTATTTATAATAAACTATTTAATTTTTAATATTTCTATTCAAACTACATTTGCTCTGAACTTGAATTTTAATACAAGTAAGATTAATCAAAATAAGAGTTCAAAAATCAGTCTTATTAGCAACAAACAACTTGGAGTTGTTATTTCAATTTCTGTAACAAAGCCAAAACCTTTCAATACAATTAAGTTCCATGTAATTTAGAACAAACAATGTAGAGTAACGAGTAAGTTTTTAGGCTTTAAAAAATAAATTTTATCATTCCGTTAACTACTTGTACAATTTCATACAGTCCCTAGTCATAACATTTACGAGGGAATTTTAAAATAAAATTATAACGTGCTCTTTCGTTGGGCGTGTTCTACATTATTTGGGAATAAATGGCAAATCCAGGAGAAATGGGTAAAATTACTTTCTGAATTTTGACGTTTTCTCTAGCCACTTTTATTTATACGTGTAACAGAACACTTCAACGAAAAGTTTTCGCTACTGGTAGTAAGAATAATGTAAGTATATGTTTCAGTCCTCATTACTTCACTGACGCCATGCTGCGAACTCCCTTATTCGTATTTATGACTAATTTATTTTCTAAACCTTTCTTTGAAATATAAGAACTTCGACAAACATTTTCCGTAAAGAAAAAAAGATGAAGTCCAACTTATTTAAACAACTCTAAGTTTTATAGTCCATTGATTAGATACAACTCATTCATGAAATTCACTTGTTTTAGATTTCCTCTCGTATACATAACATTTTTTTAATACTTATGAGAATTTAAAGTCTGTATTACAAACTGAAGAGTTTTGCTCATTGTTAAAAACACAACCTATTACTCCAGAAAACACAATTGCTTTAATTCAAGCCAACGTTTCGCCATTCCGGCTTCATTGGAGCAACGAAAACTCTTAACTTAGTTAAACAATTAATATGCTCAGTAACATGGAGAAAATAAACAAACTGAAAGTACATGCAAACTGACAAGCTAATAGTATTTAAAGTGTATGTGTGTGCGTCTGTATACCGTTGCTTATTCTAATGCCACTTTGTATTACTGACAGGTCTATGAAAACAGTGGAGAGTTTGTTTGTACACCAGCTCTCGGATCTTGCTAATGTAACTCTCAGAACGGTTTCTATAATGGTGTCCCAACCTTACAAATTTCTTTGGTCCAATACTCTGGAACTATTCTGGAGTAGAGATCACTTTGTCTATCTTGAATGTGGTGTAGGTTACTGGCTTTGCTTCGAGTTGGGGCGAGGCCTTCACTGGTTTTTTGTTCCTAGTGGTGTACTGGACTGCCTGTTGCTGGTTTCAGTAGCTTGAAGTTGACGGACATCTTATTCTTTCTTCCCAATGATCCGACTACTTTTTGATACAACTTTAACTCTGAAAAGGTAATTTCCATCCTTGGTACGTATTGGTCCCGATAGAAACGACCACACATCTGATGACACCAGCTCTTGGTGGTTAAGTACTGAAATGTTTACTTTTTCTTTATTTACTTTGGTTCTTGACAGCAGTCGTTGATTTTCTAGAAGGCTCTTGATGACTGGGATGGAACTGGAGATTGGCTGACTAGTTGGTGGCTCGAATTTTTGTTCAGTGAGGTATGGAGTGCAGAGGCGTTTGTCTGCTTTATTTGAGGTGGCTCGGCCTCTGGAAACTTCAGTTCTAGCCCGACCACTGACTTGGAAAGATAGTGATATCCGATTGTGTCATCTAGCACTGAATATTCATCCATGATCCCTATTGAGTGATAACTCTGCTGGCTCTAGACGTGTTTGGCTCGGTGAAGTCTTGCTCCTTGTTCTCCATGGCAGGATACTTGGATTCTTACACACAAGTTCAGTAACGCAAAACACTGACTAATTAAAGACAAAATAGCCAGTTTGTTCCAAAACTTGAGCTTCAATAACAAAGGTCCACATTGAAAACGCGAGGTTAGTAAAATGTAACTGGCCAAAAGGTCAGCCAGGTGTGTACACTAAAAGGGGTTCCTAACTGCCTGATCACAATCATTATTCTCCTCTAAAATTACCGTAAATTACATTCATGAAGTTGCACATTTATAGCATTCATATGTGGTTATGCTGCAATTTATCATGGGAATGTGTATCCCTGAAACATGTTAACTAAGTCTATAGGCCTCTTTTGGTTTGTATTTCACCAATATCTATTTTGGTGTGATGCCCTCTTTTACATAATTACTGTCAAACTGGATCCTACATATGTACACTGACCCAGATTAGGTCATATTCGCCTTCACTTTTGACTTTTAGTATTCACTAACGTTTTCGTTGTTGATCCTTAAGGACCTTCTTTCAGTTACAAGTTTAGTATTGGTAATTGTGGGAATTAAAGTTCAATAACTTGGGTACTACTTTCTGCCTCCTACTAGTACACTTGCAGCTCCTTTTACGACAAAATTAAGAAAATATTTATCAAATTGTGTACTATATTTCAATTTGCCTGATTATAACAATCAAATAAAACATTAGGTACACCAAATTTGTATTTGTTATAATATTTAAGCTACTGCCTGTGAACTTCAGTTACTTTAACATTTTGATTCAAAATATAAATATGGCTATGCACATTTATACAGACTAATAATTTTTAACATATTTCCAATGGCTCCTGCTCGAGCTACAATGTAACTGTCTCGTGATACTTTCTATAGTTATCATTTAATAAAGTGCTGTAACCTGCGAGCTGTTGAACTCGAGTGTTAGTATTAGGCATCATGAAATGAATAATTACTGGCCAATATTGGTTGTACTAAGAATTTTCGGCTAAAACCTTTGGTAAGTTAGGATTCGTTTTTGTGCTACTACTGAAGTATGTATAAACATACACTTAAAAGACAACTTCTCCACGTGCAGCGAGAGTTAAGTTTTGTTTAAGTATACCAACATCAAAGATTATATAGCAGTCTTCATGGAGCTCTCGTTACCATGCGAGCTTTGGAAGAGATTTTTGCAAAATGTCTGAAACGTTTTCTCTTGGGGGGGGGGAATAGCCAGTTAGGCTGGAATTCAACAGGTGTAAATCCCTTTTCAGTGTGTTTTTTGAACTCTGATCAAACTGTCAGTGTATTAATTAGTATATCTATCAACGCCAGCCATATAAACCGTGTTAATTGAGCAGTTATCCAATATATTAGAAATGCATCTTGTAATGAAATTTGCTCGATAGTTCAGCAAGTAGAGGTTGCAAACCCCCAATAGTCTCATTAATTGTAAAATCAACAAAACATCTTCATTTATGATGATATGGAGGTAATCGAGCAACATAGAACATACACTGTACCTTACTTTCTAACCTATCGCGTGATGCTGTAAGGGGCACAACACTCATTCAGTTGCACTTTTGAAATCCTAATTATCATCCCCCTGCTGCACAAGCTAGTAATACACAATGCGTTGCATTTAATAGCACAACCAGTCCTATTTTCATGGTAATGTAGTGGAAATTGCACAATATAGCAAATACATTGTACTGTGAATATCAGTTGCTAGCTTGGAAAGCGAGGATCACAACTTCCTTTCACTTAACAAGTATTTGTCCTAATGGCCATACTAACTTAAAACTTTGGGTTCAGTCCTAGTCATATCCATTAGGAGGACATTGTCAGCGGTTCTGTGGACCATTGGAGCAGAATCTTACCTCTACCCCTGATACCTACTTATCTGACTCATTCTGAATAGTAAGATATGTACTCTCTGCAATTTCTTCCTCATCCTTTGGGTCAGAGTGGTATAAGCCAGTGTTTTCATCTTCATCCAACTCTATTACATCTCTTACTCTTGGAGTTCTGATAGTTCACTAGACGTTCGTTGTTCAGATGCAGCTGCTATGTGTACTAGGCACTTGCATGTGCCCTTTGACTCGTACATAATAGACCAACTCATTGGAGTACAAGATATTTCTTCAGGTGCTCGAAACTGGGCTATTCAATGCTTTATGCACATCAGCCACATACTGTGTAGGTGTATCAACCAATGAATAAGCCTTGGCCCACTTTATGAAGAACTCGATGACAATGAGCGTGTATAAGTGAAATTTTTTGTCTTCAGAAGTGGGCCAGTAATATCCACAGCTATTCTCTATAGAGGAGAATCAACAATTCTTTCCTGGAGTTTCCCTGTTAGGTTGACTTTTTCTTTTTAGGTTACACACAATAGTGTTCACTCTACTGCTGTTTAACACCTTTGTGTCCTTCAGTTTTAGTATTATACAAAGTTTCTTGCTCCTAAGCTGTGAAACAGGAGTAGGAACCACTACTTAATGGTTGGTAGTGATCTTGCAGCCAATCGTCCTGTACTCGTAACTGATCTTAAGAGAAACCTAGGCTAAGTCGATCCATGCTATGTTCCTCAATCTCAAATAGGTATACTTCACCTTGTTGCACAGTAAAAAAAATATCTGTTAGACCTGGGTCTTGCTGTTGCTCTTCCCAAAGCTCCTGGAGCACTAAACATGACATCCATCCACTGGTGAAGTCATCTACAGTATGGCTTATCATTATAGCAAGATCCAAATATTCAATGAATGGGCAAATCTCGATATCTGGTAAGACAATTCATATGCATTTCCATTCTGCAGCTATCATGTTCCCGCAGTTCTGTTTTCTAATGTGCTATCATCATTCATCTTGGCTTTTCTATTTCATTAACCATTTCAATCTTGATAAAGTTGTACATAAACCATAGGTAATACAATGTAAAAACCAGGATTATGTGAACTCTTCATTTGTTCACAGGCTGAGGCCAATTTCTCACCACAAATGGTTTAGCAAAGTTCGTAGACATTCTTTCTGTACCTGCACTCTTATGTGCATGAATACATATTTTGCAGGTTTCGGGTTCAAGCCTGCATTTTCTTTAATGCAACGGAATACTAGTT